TCACTTGGCTCAGGGCACCTCAAGAAGTTGAGCTCATAAACCTGTCACTCATTTGCATATCCAGACACTGGGACGTGACTTGGATATTTTAATGTTACGCTTGTTTTACCCAGGAAAGTTTCGAGGTTTTATTTTTTTCAGGAGTGTCCTGCCAAGTTTTTCGCAGTAGGGGGGGGGGGCGCGATGTTGCCATGTGTAATCCCAATTGAGTGATTTTTTTTTTATTTGTTCAGCATTGGAAAGTTTGGCTGACACCGTTTACATTGGGTGTGGTTTTCTTTTTTTTTGTTTCGCGATGGGAGGAAACCGTAGAACCCGGAAGGAGACCCAGGCAGAAGACGGGGAGAGCCTATACAAAGTCCACACAGAAAGGCACCCGAGTCTGTAATCTACAACCCAGGCCCTTGCGTTACCACTACGCCGCCATTGATCATGATTATTATAATTGTTGTTGTATTAATAATCACAATGCTTCGGTTCACTCGTGGAGCAGTTTTTTTTTTTTGCCCTTGACGTGCATGACGTGGCTCCTCAAAGTCCTCGCACGGTGCCAGATTCTGCACGTGCAGACGGACTAACGCCGGGTACCTAACCTTGACGCCCGTCTCCACACGACAGACAGATTATGTTACAGACTTCATCAGACAGCCTTTGTTCGCTCTTGCAGGTGTTCACGCTTCTAGTGTTCCAATTCTTTTCGTACCGCAAGTACCGTACCGCCAGCGGTGATTGGCTCTGATTTATAATAAGACGGTCCTTGATAATAGTACTTTGTTTGTCGAGAAAGTCACCCACTGAGTCTCGAGACTTCTTAGCCAGGAAGGGTCCATCTTTGAATTTTTGGTCACTTCTCGTTGATGTTTGTTGTTCATAGCATGTTCTCCGTAACACGTTTGTTGAGGGTTGTTCTAAAATTAGAGAGAACAAATGTCAGATTGCATGTGGTGGGGTAAAGTGTGGGTACTCCCACCTCTTCCAAGATGTCCGTGCAGCGTGGTAAATGAGGCCAAATCAAATCTGGAGGGGGCTCTCTGGAGATCCCTCTGGGGGAGGCCCTTCTACCATCAGTGGGTGTGCGCAAAGCAATTGCAGGGGCTGCACCTTTACCTGTCGATGCTAATGTACGGAAACAAAATGTTGCGAAGCTGCTTTACACGTGTAAAACAATAGCAATTGTACAACGGCAGCACCAGTTATATTTTAAATGAATCTGCAGAAGATTTGGTGCTTACAAATGAATCAATTGGCCAGACATCCTTGTCATGCAACCATGCCATTGTCGTCAGCAGTCCCTCGGGGTTCGAGGATGACGTCCATCAGGTTCAGTGGTCGCTCTTGAGGTTGCTGAAGAGTCAAATTCTGGATCCGCAGATCTTTGGGCAATGGGGGGGCACGCGGTCCTAGGGATCAGCAGTGCCAGTTTGGAAGTGTGTACACGCGCAATAATTACAAAATCTTGTGCCGAGCTTAGCGAATGTAGGCTGTCCATAGCGGGAGGTATCTCCTTCTTCTCTGCTTCTTAGCCAGACTGTGGTGTGCATGCACTCCTTTAATCCATCACTGTGGAGGCAGTGGGGGTTGGTAGAGCACACAAAAATGTTGTGAAACTCTCTTTTCCTATGGGCGTCGAGGAGGTGCCGTACCCTGGCTCACCAGGAGAAGGCGGTACAGGAAGTGGAATAATCGCCATCTGTGTCCATCTGTAGGGGGATCGAGTGTTGCACCAATGGCCCAGTTTCCTCCAACTTGCATAAACAACTCGTTAAATAGTTTAACAAGGAGTAGGCTTTCGTGGCCAATATTATCCATAATAGAGGTTTTTTGGGTTAAATCGCGTAAATATAAATGTGTCGTTAAACCTACCACCACCCAACACAGCCACTTAGTAAGGTTTGCCACGTAAACAAAACATGCCAATCCGTTACGAGTTCAGTACACCGCTGTGTTGGAGAGTTAACAGAGAATATTTATAATTAAAGTACCGTGATGTTCCACCGGTAATTACAACCAGCTTCATCAGGCGACAGCCAGAGTTGTGGAGAAATCTTCCTGTTTTGGTCTTAACTCATTAATTGTCTGAAAACATCTTTAAAAAAAACAAAGCAGGACCCTCCTGTAAAATAATCCTACCAATCAGTTTGGCTCTCTTGGACAAATAAGCAAAATGAGTAAATTCTCGTGTAAAATTCAAAAGGGCAGTTTATATATTCAGGTCCCATTTGTTGAGGAAATTAATATGCGTTTGTTGAGTCGGTGTGTAGCTCATTCGTTACTCCATTCCATAGAGGTATCATATTAATAGCAAATTATTATATTCAGGCAGCAGTGCCACCTGGGTCAATAACACTACAACAATCCCCCATATAGCGTTAGCAGACTGTTGGGGCAAGTGCTGTTAGCATGCACCTGTGAAGGCTGGAACGGCACACGAGGGGATGAGTGACTAACACCACGCCCGGTCGCCTTTGTCTCCCCAGTGGCGATGTTTACACACCACACCGGGTACTCATTTTAGGTTGAGTCGACCTAGGGACGGCCGTGGACCGGTTCAGATAATCGTCACTGATGGTGGCCGTGAGCGGGAATCGAACTGGGGTCGCTGGGTTCGTAGTGCAGCGCCCTAACCGCTGCACCACCGCCACACCCCCTCCACCCCCCCCCCGCCCCAATTGGTAGTGTGTAGATTGTATCGCGTGAGATTCATCGCTGTCCCCGTGTCCACACCGTGGTGCTGGTGACGCTTCGTAAAGAGCTTTCAGAGAGCTCCCCGTGTTCACTGACATCCCTGCGTGTTTCCATTGATTCTGATATGCGCTCAAACTTTATTTTTTTCTTGTTATTAACCCTATCTTTCGCAGAGCCCCAACATTCAGTCGTGCAGTTCAAAGTGCTTTCCAATTAAAATTATTTCACAATGGACGATAACTTATAAATTGCCCTATCCTGTTGCAGTAGGACACGTTGAATGCCGATGATGACACTGTCATCTTTTTCTCTCTTTGTACAACCTTTTTCAAAGTACAATTTTAATTAAGACAGCAGATCAGGTATAAAAGCTATCTCCAATCATTATAGTTTATGGTTTTATCTGCATTATTCACAGGTTAACTTTTTTCACTGGCTAGTTTCCTTTTTTACTGCGGCATTTAAAGTGACATTGCATCAATCAGTCGGGATTTTTTTTTAAACCCATCGTATTAAAACGTCTCGGAAATTCTCCCCTCAAAAAAGAAAACCCGGTGAAGTTTCGCCTTGAGGCACCACTAAAAAGGGCAGAGATATTATTTACTCTGCTGCCGTGGTGATTAACGATGGTGCAGTGTGATCTCCGTGATAAAACGTCAATTGGATGCTTCTCACAAACACCCGGGCGGTGACTTTCCAGCCTGTGGTCGTGCAAATTCCCGCGGCAGGATGGGGGCCGCTGATTGCCAAATCCCCAGAACCGCAGCCCTTAATTTTTCATTTTAAAAAAAAATTGGCGAAATATTTTTTGCTGAAAATTTTGGAGCGAACCGCGTTTTTTTTTTGCCAGCTTTTAATGAGAGGAACAAGCAGACGTGTGACCACTGCTTCGTTCTCACAGTTGTTTAAAGTCACGCAAGAGAGAGAGAGAAAAAAACATGTTCTCTTGGACACATTTTTAAGGTTATATCAGCCCGAATGATCACGTGCACTTTATTTATAACGAGGTGTGAGAGCCCATTGGAGACTTAAAAGTCTCTTTTTCAAAAACAGAAGTGATCAGCCCTCCGCTAGATCTGTTTAGACACTTCTAGATGTGTACCTCAGACCAAGTCACCCTCAATACTCCCCACCTCATCGAATCTCAGAAGGGTGCAGCTTGAATAGTGGACCACCAATCATATGAGGTGTTAGGAGACTCTGGGTTAGCGTAATGGCAGTAGAGGTCAGTGCAACCGAATCCATTGTTGTACTGTACCTAAGTGTTCCCATGCCGATTGTCTGTACCCGACAAGTTTCACCAAATGACTCTCGAGACCCACATTCTGTGGTGGAGGCCCTCATCCAGCAGTGGATTTGCAAAAGGGCTCTGCACATACACCAATGGATTTTTCATTTGTCTATTTATTCATTAAGGAGAAGGATTTGGCATTGTAAAATGTACCTTTTTTATGATGCATAAATGCGATGCACCTGATAGCTCATCACAAAATGCGAGGAATGGCGGCAGAGAAGAGTTTGGATTCGAATGAGGCAATCACGCGATGCTGTCATCCCTTGCGAACCAGCCCAGGTGTCCGTTGACAGACTCGAGCAATGCCTGGCTTGAGGTGAGCGTCTTAGTGAAGTTCCTGACAGCTATCCTTAGCACCCAGTGATCACCTTTAAATCTTAAGTCTTGAAAGTGGACGGTGCTGCGTTGTCTCCGGGGTTTGAGTCACCATTGAGAACTGACAGCTCAGATTTGAATCCAGACAGCCTCCTGATTCAAAGGAAACAGGTTTTCCAGTGTAGTGAGCTGGTTTTCTCACCAATGATTTCACGAAAAATTCCCCATTGCGTAAAATCTAGTGTCGTACGTAATTTGACCTTTTCCAGCTCCGAGGGAATAGTTGGCGGTTTGACAGACTTCGTGGCTCATGCGTGTATCTTAATGTGGTGGGCCTAGAGGCTGTGTGGTAGGACAGGCCCTCCAGAGATGTCAGGGGAAAGACCATTGACGAGACTTCTGGGTCAGTCCCAAATGTCACACGTAGCTCTGCTGTCATAGTGAGTTATAGAAGATAAATGGTTGGTTCGCTGCTTTCACAGCGCTCTGATAGCACGATCGGTGGACAGTTTGTGACAAGTACAAAAGTAATGATTTACCCCAACAAAAAAATATTAGAAAGTTTTGAAAATGGAGATGAGTGTTTTCACTCCAGCATGGCACTCTCAGCAATTGGCTGTCATTCTTAACCCGAGCTCTGGCACTTAGCAGGTACGGCTCCTCCACGAGTCCCCTCTTCTGTCTCTCCCTAGTCAACGTAACCCACCTTTTTGCTTTTGGGGCTCTTCCCACCGGCCTGCCGTATCAGTTTCCACTTTCCTCCTGTCGCCCCGGCGAGCCTCTGCCGGGCTGATGAAGATGAATGGGGCGCCTGTGCTTCTTGTGGTCCTTGCGACCGACGCCCCCCCCCACGGTCCCCTTGCGCAGGGGCGGCTGCTGCGTCGAGGGACCTCGATGGGCCCACGCGGCGGTGCGCGACGACGTGCGGAGAGAGAGCGCACGGAGAGAGAGTGCACGGAGAGAGAGAGCTCACGGAGAGATCGTGCACGGAGAGAGAGTGCACGGAGAGAGAGGGAGAGAGTGCACGGAGAGAGAGAGTGCACGGAGAGAGAGAGAGCGCACGGAGAGAGAGAGCGCACGGAGAGAGAGAGTGCACGGAGAGAGAGAGAGTGCACGGAGAGAGAGAGAGTGCACGGAGAGAGAGAGAGTGCACGGAGAGAGAGAGAGTGCACGGAGAGAGAGAGAGTGCACGGAGAGAGAGAGAGTGCACGGAGAGAGAGAGAGTGCACGGAGAGAGAGAGAGTGCACGGAGAGAGAGAGAGAGCACGGAGAGAGAGAGAGAGCACGGAGAGAGAGAGAGAGAGTGCACGGAGAGAGAGAGAGTGCACGGAGAGAGAGAGAGAGTGCACGGAGAGAGAGAGCGCACGGAGAGAGAGAGTGCACGGAGAGAGAGAGAGTGCACGGAGAGAGAGAGAGAGTGCACGGAGAGAGAGAGCGCACGGAGAGAGAGAGTGCACGGAGAGAGAGAGTGCACGGAGAGAGAGAGAGTGCACGGAGAGAGAGAGAGTGCACGGAGAGAGAGAGAGAGTGCACGGAGAGAGAGAGAGAGTGCACGGAGAGAGAGAGAGAGTGCACGGAGAGAGAGAGAGAGTGCACGGAGAGAGAGAGCGCACGGAGAGAGAGAGCGCACGGAGAGAGAGAGTGCACGGAGAGAGAGAGAGTGCACGGAGAGAGAGAGAGTGCACGGAGAGAGAGAGAGTGCACGGAGAGAGAGTGCACGGAGAGAGTGCACGGAGAGAGAGAGCTCACAGAGAGAGAGCACGGAGAGAGAGAGAGAGCGCACGCTGGCGGTGATGTCATTGTCCCCGCGAGTGAGACCCGAGAGCTGGACGTGGCATTGTCGGGACTGTTTGGGGAAGCGCGCAAGCGCAGCGCAGAGCAGCACGGTGCGGCTGCAAACACGGCCAGCTATACAAACAAAGAACAGCCGCGCGCACATTTCCTCTTGATGCGCTCTACGCCAGGGGCTGGCTCTGATTAAAGAGACGCGTTATTGCAGCGCTGCGGCGTTGTGGTGGCGGCATACGGGGGGGGGGGGAGGTACTTTCTGTACGCTTCACGTTCCGTGCTGTCGGGAGTCTCACGAACAGGTCCGTGACATTGACGTACAAAACAGAATGTGCCTCTTTCTAGATTTGAAGCTTTCGTGACTGCAATAAATTCATACTCTGTGGTTTTTTCGGAAAAGTACTTGATGCAGCGATCTTGCTGTAACTGTTCCACCTGAAGAGACGGAAGCTTGTGTTGCCTCCGAAACGTCGTGATTTAATTGCTTTATTTTAATTTATTTAATTTATACCTACGTGACTTTACCGAAAAAACCAAAGAGTAAGAATGTGCTTCTGTTTGTTTTCCTCCTCCACAGTTCCATAACGAGACGCACGCGCGCACAATTCTTAGCAGCATAGTTGGCCTGTTACATAGCCCTGTACGTGTGTTCGTATACGTGCTTGTGAACGTGTGTGTGTGTGAGGCTGTGTGTGTGTGTGGCTACGTAGGAGCGATAGTGTAGCGGTTAGCGCTACGCTGCGCTATGAACCTGGCGACCCGGGTTCGATTCCCGCTCACGGCCAACACCAGTGACGATTATCTGAACCGGCCCCGGGCCTCCCCTAGGTCGACTCAGCCTCAAATGAGTACTTGGTGCGGTGTGTAAATATTTTCACTAGGAAGACAAAGGCGGCCGGGCGTGGTGCTGGCCACCCACACCCTCGTGTACCGTTCCGGCCTTCATAGGTGCTCGCTGACAGCACTTGCCCCTACAGTCTGTTAAGGCTATACGGGGGATCTTTGTAATGGTTAGATTACTGCACTACGCACCCAGTGACCCGAGCTTGATTCCCATATCGGCCAACATCGGTGACGAACATCTTACTGGGTTGATGCAGCCTTAATTGAGTACCTGATCCGGTCTGTCAATATCAGGACTGAAGAGGCGAAGGTGGTCAGATAGATGTCTTGTTGACCACACCACGCCCTCAAATTAGATGCACCGTACCGGCCGTCATCGGTTTTCACTAACAGCGCCAGTGCTCCAACAGTCTGTTAAAGGCTGCACAGGGGATCATTGTATTTCGTGTGTGTGGATAGATATCAAAGGATACAAACCACACGGTGACCGAGCCAACGCTCTTACCGCACTTCACAATTAATATCACTCGGCAAGTCGGTGAGGCAGTGAGTTTGATTTGGAAAGACTGCCCCAGGAGTTAAACCCAGATCTTCCAGTCAGTGGCTGGATGTGCTCCCAACAATGAGTGACATAATACTGTGTTTTTAAAACGGCTATGATCTATTATGTTTTACAATGCATCATTATATATGTGTGTGTGTGTATAAAACAAATATATATTGACGCCTCGAATGGACATTATTTAATAATTCTGACTTAATCAAATGTTGAAGACGTTGACGTCTTTCTTTAACTTTAAGCAAATTAGTTGGGTGGCGATGTGACACAGCACTCACGGTGGCAACGCCCCCTAAGCTCAATTCCAGCGATGCCACAGTGCCAAGGTGTCAAATACTTCGCCTGGTGTACAGGAGGTTGTGGGTTCGATCCCGACTTTGATGCCTGCTGCTGTATATTTGGAGTTTGCATGTTCTCCCCGTGGTCGCGTGGATTTTTCTCCAGGCCCTCCGGCTTTTCCCTTCACATTGAAAACCATTTGGAGTAGTTTGCTGCTATACATTTGCACGTGATAGGCCATTTCGTTGGGCTATTATTTTGTGGCCAGGTAGCTTCTGAAAAAGAGCTACATAGCTCAATGGGTCTTAGCTGATGAAATACAAAATAGTTTAAGTTTAGTGGAAATCCACATTGTGGTAAACTCAGCCCAACAAACCCCTCTGGGGGCTGGTAAAACGAGTACCACATTGTGGTAAGTTCACAGCTGTCGCAGTGACGTGTGGTATTGATTCATTCAGTCATTGATACAATTGATAAACGTGCGCACAGATTGAACTTAATAGAGGACATTCAGAGGTGCGGGAGAATACATTAAAGATCAACGGGAGTCTTCAGATTCCGACAGAATGTTTCGACCCGCCGCCGATGTGCGGCGCAGTGAGAGTGAGAGAGGCAGTGAGAGTGGGAGCGAGAGTTAGTGGGAGTGAGGGAGACAGTGAGAGTGGGAGAGACAGTGAGAGTGGGAGTGAGAGTGAGAGAGGCAGTGAGAGTGAGAGTGGGAGAGGCAGTGAGAGTGGGAGAGGCAGTGAGAGTGGGAGAGGCAGTGAGAGTGGGAGAGGCAGTGAGAGTGGGAGTGAGAGTGAGAGAGGCAGTGAGAGTGGGAGTGAGAGAGACAGTGAGAGTGGGAGAGGCAGTGAGAGTGGGAGAGACAGTGAGAGTGGGAGTGAGAGTGAGAGAGGCAGTGAGAGTGGGAGAGGCAGTGAGAGTGGGAGAGGCAGTGAGAGTGGGAGAGGCAGTGAGAGTGTGAGTGAGAGTGAGAGAGGCAGTGAGAGTGGGAGTGAGAAAGACAGTGAGAGAGACAGTGAGAGTGGGAGTGAGAGAGACAGTGAGAGTGAGAGAGACAGTGAGAGTGGGAGTGAGAGTGGGAGAGGCAGTGAGAGTGGGAGTGAGAGTGAGAGAGACAGTGAGAGTGAGAGAGACAGTGAGAGTGGGAGAGGCAGTGAGAGTGGGAGTGAGAATGAGAGAGACAGTGAGAGTGGGAGTGAGAGAGGCAGTGAGAGTGGGAGTGAGAGTGGGAGAGGCAGTGAGAGTGGGAGTGAGAGTGGGAGAGGCAGTGAGAGTCGGAGTGAGAGTGAGAGAGACAGTTAGAGTGAGAGTGGGAGAGGCAGTGATTTCAAGACGACCGGAGCTGCTACACAGAGACTGGTGTCGCCTCGTCTCCCGTGCGAGAGACCTTCGTCAGGAATGGTGAATTTTCACCTTTGGCTCAAGGCTGTCATCAAAGATGAAAGAAAAAAAAACCACCGCCCGGTGTTTAAACATTGATTTCTATTGACTTTGATGGATTTATTTATTTTGCAACAATACACGGAGCGTTTCGGGACAGTGCTGTCGCAGACGATCGACTTGGGTCACGTAGCGATCTCGCGATGTATAAATGCACGGCCCAATCGGATGTCACAACTCATCAATGAGCGCGTCCGGCCGGCCTGGGTGATTCATCCCCCCCCCCTCCGTGCGATGTGGGGGAGGGCGGTGTGCCTGGTGGGCTGTCACCCCCCCCCCCCCCCTCGCTCACTCACCCACGCGTTCCGTCACTGATGTCATCGGAGGGAGTGTGTGGGCTCCCGCGCGCGCGCGCGCCCGCGGGTACACGCTCTCGATCTGTGTGGGAGTCGCCAAGTGTCTTCTCTCGGGCTCGCTCCGCCGCTCGTTCGTTCGCGTTTTCGCAAAGAGCGCTGCTCCCTTTCACTCCCAAGCAGCTTCCGCGCGGAAACGCACAGGTCGGTTTTAGACTTACGCGCAGTTTTTTTCCGTGTTTTTTTTTTAAACTGTAAATCAACGTATTGTTTCGTGAAATGTGCGTTGTTTAACTTTGATGTGTCGTAAAAAAAATTTTTTTAATGAATGCACGGATGATTTTAAATGTTACGGACGATTTTAGAAAAAAACATTAATCTGCATTCTTCAGCGCACGAGCACAGGCATAAACTGTGTACTGATTTTGTGCGAGTTTCATGCATGTATATGTACACACGTGTGAATTCGCGAACTACATATATTTGTACACCATAATATATCATGGTCACTGACACGTATTTAATAATAGCTCTGAGCCGGTTAATACTGTAACATTGGCAAATGCAATTAAGTTTGTGCATATCCCCTTGAACTTCATATCCACTTGAACTTCATATCCCCTTGCAGAAATGTATGACTTATTCGTATATATAATATAACTATAGGTAGTGACTTTACTTTCTTGTAAGACATTTTTAAAAATAAGTTTCATTGGAATTTGTCTAGCGAATGCTAGTAAATATAGCTATATGTAATTATTTAATATGCTCTTAACCAGAAAACTTTTCTAATAATGTTTTCCTCATAAAATCATCAACAGGAGCCATCATATGGATAGACTCACCCCTGGCATGAAATGTGAAATTCCTCGTGCCAGCTCAGAGCTGTAAAGAAGAAGAAAAAGATCTGCCCGTTTGGCAGGAATTTTGTGAACTTGTACAATTTGTGCTTCGATACTTTATTGATATTTATGTAGTGACTTTCTTACCTTTCCCCCTTTATTACTCTTATATTGTGTTTTGTATAGTTTGTTGTAGTAACGTGCTGACCCTCCACCGGAACTAAGCGACCTGGCCACAAATGATAACTCAACGAAGTGGCGTACAAATAAATGTAAATTGCTGTTGTTATGTGGCCATTTATAGCAGCCAAATACTCGAAGCACATGTTGATTCAAAATGTGGAGGGAAAAACCGTAGTGCCCGGTGAAAAATCCACGCAATCACGGGAGAACATGCAACCTCCAAATATACAGGCGTCATGGTCTGGATCGTATCCACGACCTCATGTATACCAGGCGAGGTAGGTAACATCTCACCACCGTGGCACCCCTATGGGACATATCTGAAAAAGAGCTCCGTAGCTTAATCAGATTCCTCCAGGATAAGTGAAGATCCTGATTCTGAGTTGCAGCAGGCATCCACTTTGACCATAATAATTGCCATTAAAGGAGAACTTGCGATACACTGGCGAAGTGGCCAGGGCACTGCCCTGCACCCTAAACTAACGCTGCCTCAACGCCCCCCTCTGCGTCGTTCTGTCCCACCGCAGGCGTCTCCAGCGGAAGTTCCCTGACTGGGCGCGGAGGGGCATGCCACCTCTCGCGCGGCCGTGACCAACGCAGAGCGCCACTCCCCGAGACGACGCCCCAAAGCCCCCCCAGAGCTCCCGCAGCGACCCTCCGCGTCGTCGAGGGCATGGCGGCCCCGCCGCAGCCTCAGCGCCAGCGCCAGCAGCTGCTGCTGGTGCTGCTGCTGGCCCTGAGCGCGGCGCTGGCGGCCGACGGGGCGAGCGGCGCTCGCTCGGCCGCGGCGGCTTCACCGGCGGCGGCCGGAGGACGGGGCAAGCTCCAGCGAGACCGACGCAACATCCGGCCGAACATCGTGCTCATCCTCACCGACGACCAGGACGTTGAACTAGGCAAGCAACGTTGGCAGATTGAACGGCCACCCCGGTTTTTTTTTGCCGTAGCGGACGGGCCCATCATGAGTCCTTGAATGGGGGGGGGGGGGAGGGGGGGGTCTCCGCACGTTCGTCAATGTCATTAGGAAGCCACTGAAGTTCCGCACTTTTAAGGCATCTAGATTGAAAACTAATTTCTTCAGAACTGCTCCGTGTTGAGTTTGTTGTTCCTTCCCTCGCCGCCCTAAATAGGATAAATATGTACACATGTATGTTGAACTTCTTTCGCACCGTACGTAACCAACCGTGCTGATCGGAGGTGCGGGGGAAGGACAACGTATGACGTAAGGTATGACTTGACGTGTGACATTTCGGGAAGTGGCCCTCGTTGGTAGCAACGTGAATCATCGGATGATTTGTCAGTTAACTCCTTGGTGTGAAAATGCAGTGTGGACTCGAGCAGTTGGCTAAGCTTGGATGCACGGGATAACAAAATTGTGCAGCAGGAGAAAAAGCAATACATCTCCCCCGCTGCCAATAAAGATGACTCGCTTATCCACGATGATGATTGATTGATGATACAACAGACAGGAGAATTTATGGCTAATAATTTTGTTTGGCTGTTTCCACCAATGTTTGTGATAGGAGTGAACATCCGAATGCGATCAAGAGAATTATCATGTACTCCACAGATAACGACCCACTGCATTGTTATCCACACACACACACTGCAGGGGATTTCTTTAGCTTCTAGGGGTGTTTGTAATTAGTTTGTTGTACTTCCCCCGCAGCTCCGATGAGCACAGTTGGCTACGTATGGCGCGAAAAAAGTTCTACATGCATACTGCAAGACAATGCATCGGTTCATGAACATCGATTAATAACACATAATTTGATTGCATTGACAGCAGAATAAACTGCTGTTGCCTCTGCGTGGTATGGTGCAAGTTAATTTTCAGTTTGATTATATGTGTATAAGAATATGTTATTAACCCCGCCAGACCAATGTGGAATTTGCACAACGGCTGCAAAAGTGGAGATGAGCAACTGCCTCTTGGCTTATTTTTAGCAGCAAATGGCAGTCAGAAAAAGGCTGAACAGAGGGGTTCTGTGAATGTGCGGGGGAAGGACGACAAACCAAACACAAAAAAGCAATTCTCAAGAAATGAGTGTTCAATCTCGATGATTTAAAAGCACGCAACTCCTGTGGTTTCATAATAGCAGACGGAAGAGCGTGCCACGCGGCCGCAGCAGCAGCAGCAGCAGCAGCGGCGGCGCATCTGAAAGCGCGCGATGCGGTTGACCGTCTTTGTTCGATGGCGAGGCAGAAGCCACGGCGTGGGATGGACGGGAGCTCACGTGATTGTTTATGTCCCTTGACGAGATCGGCAAGGTACTGCGGTTCATTTGTGGCAAGCACTTTGTGTGCGGCCTTACAACATCAGAGGAGCTAAACAGAGAGGGCCTTTGTCTTTGTACGTGTGTGGTGGCTCTTGTGTGTGTGTGTGCGCGCGTTCGTTCGTGAGCGCAGGCTCGATGCAAGTGATGAACAAGACGAGGCGCATCTTGGAGCAGGGCGGCGCCCACTTCACCAACGCGTTCGTCACCACGCCCATGTGCTGCCCATCGCGCTCCTCCATCCTGACGGGGAAATACACGCACAACCACCACGTGTACACCAACAACGAGAACTGCTCGTCGCCCTTCTGGCAGGCCACCCACGAGCCCCGCACCTTCGCCGCTCACCTCGGCGGCACCGGCTACCGCACAGGTGCGCGCAAAAAACAAAAGCGTCCGCGCCCGCGCCCGCACCCCCCCCGCCCCCGCCCCCCCCCCCCGTCGATTCTTTCCCTCGTGCGTCCACGTCCGTTCGTGTGCGGTCGGGGTAAAGTGGCGCTTCGGCGTTCCGTCGATCGCCGTTGGTTCTTCACGCTGGGGGATTCTTGCGTCGGAGGGCGGTGGAAGTGAGAATTTACGTTTTTGTTCCGATCAGCGTGGGTAAAACAAGGTTCAGGGCGCAGCCCCTGCAAGTGCTTGCTCGTACCACTGCTGACGGAAGTGCCTGCACTCGAGCGTGCTTCAGGGTGCCACTCGAGAAGGTACTGTGGCCTGCTCGTACTCGCTAGATAGGCTGCTTGGAAGAGTTGGATGTACCCACACTTTACCCTACCACGCGTGACCTGCCCTAACCACTTACTGGAGTGTACCCATTTATACCTCCGGGTGGATAGAGTATTTGTGAAACATTGTTTCAAGGGCCATGGTGGAATATCGAATAGAACCAGCGACCGCTGGATTGCAAGTCCAGCGGCATCCCATTAAGCGCACGGTGCATGCATTAAACAGCGCGTGTTTCCGTGTGTTTCTGTGTGTTTCTGTGTGTTTCCGTGTGTTTCTGTGTGTTTCCGTGTGTTTCCGTGTGTTTCCGTGTGTTTCCGTGTGTTTCCGTGTGTTTCCGTGTGTTTCTGTGTGTTTCCGTGTGTTTCCGTGTGTTTCTGTGTGTTTCTGTGTTTGCCGATCATTCTCCATTGAGATTTATAATGGGTTCGCATCACCCCTACAACCATTCGGGGCATTGCCCGCTCGCCGTGATTATTTTCAAAGAATCGTGACCCTGAACCGCAACAAGTCATTGAAATTGGGGGCTGGTGGGTGGGGGGGGGGCGTGGGGGTAAGTGGGGGTCATTATTAATTTGCACATCATGTGGCAGCGATCGAGAGGGAGGAGCGAAGGGGCTTGCAGGCACACGTGCTTCATCAGTTGGGTCAGGAGGGTAAGACGGAAAAAAGGAAAGAAAGATTCCCAGAGCCTAGCCATATCAGCAAATAATTGGGTAGAATGTGTTTGTTGAAGCAGCAGCAGCAGCAGTGTACATATAATAATAAGAATAACACAAATGTGTTATTGTAATTCAGCATGATCCCAGTACAGGGCATAAACCGTAACAAAGGGGAGGGGCCGCACAGAAACTCCCACGGACGAGAGGTCCTGAGCTTGGGGCTCCTGGGTTCGAGGGGAGGGGAGATAATTGGGCTCCACCGCCCCACCCAGGTGGTGGGGGGGGGGGATCCCATGAGAGGGAGCGTGCATTTTGATATCAGCAGGGAGGGTAAAGACGAGAGACAAAGAACAAAAGTAAGGGGATAGAGTGGATGGGGGGACAGAATCATTATTGATTCCACCGAGAAGCACTCGCTCAGCATCGAGCGTTGAGAGGAATCTGAATCTTTATTGAACTCCCACGCGTATTGCGCTGCACAGATAGGTCAGAAACCGATTTGCTGTACCGTCTCATGCGTGCGTTAATTATGTAATTTTTTATGCAAATAGGGTTGTAATGCACATCGTGGCCCGATCTCTATACGATTGAACCAACCCGAGCTCGTTGATGTTCGGATAAAACTTATAATTTTATGGGGGGTTTTTTATTCCTGTACTTGCAAATTTTGTTTTGGGAATTAGTAATGAACCTCGTGACCCAATATGAAGTATACCTTGCAACGGAAACAGTTTTAGAGTGTAACTCGGAGTTCAAGGGCAATTACACATGCATAAGGACATACCACAATCATTTATTTAACGTGTATATATGTGTGTGAGTGTGAAGCCCAAGGAGTAGTAGCTACTGTTGATGGTGAATCTGCTCGTACGTAACGATTATAACGATAATGATTTGGGATGCACACTCGCTCAACATACAAACAAGCATTTAGATTATTTGGCTGCTATCAATTCCCACGTGTTAAGCAACTTCGTTGAGCTATCATTTGTAGCCACGTCACTTCTGAAGAAGAAACTAATAGCTCAGCGGGCTTTAGCTGATAAGATAAAACATAGTTTGGTTTTATTTGTATTTTTTCGTCTGATTTTCTTACCTTTCGTTTACTTGGCACTCCCATCGTGATTTTGTGTTGTTGTAACGTTCTGACCCACCCCTACTGGACATCTGTGAAAAATAACTTCATAGCTCATCAGATTTCTCCAGTATAAATAAATATTCTGTTTCTGACTATATAATGATGGACTCAGTGAGCCGCTGCAGCAATCGACTGCAATCATGTAATGCATGAGCAATGTGAGGCAGATAAAACTATCTTACTTTATTGACTCACAATAATTATAATCATTCATGGCTTTCAATCGCTCTGGAAAGCCACACCGAGTCCCAAGACTTGTTGAAGAGGGTCCTGCCAATTCGATTAACGAGGGGCGCTGTGTGGACGACAAATAAACCGTAGCCAGGGAAAGTGCATGCATGCAAGTGGGTAACACACAAAGCTGCACACAGACGGATTCATGAATCCATTGCAATACTGCCACGGCCTGGCCGCCGTGCCTGACAAACACCCTAGCCTCACGGAAACCTGCCAATTTACCCTTCAGCATCCGAGCCACACACTCAGCAGGCTCAAACCGGCTTAGCTTATTATGAGATCTGCCAAGGTTGGATACAATTAGGTGACATCAACTGTGCTTTAGCGTCATTATACCTCCTTTGCCAGTACCAAAATGTAATATTAGGGTTTTTCCCCTTTTTTTTACGCCTTTTGGCGTCATCTGGTCGAGCACCAATTGGGTCGAGGCTCAAAAGAAAGCCGTCCCTTGGTGTGGACCAATCAGTTTCAAGGACAATGCATATATTATCATAGTGTGTTTTTGTTTGCATTTTGACTGCAGGTATTGTGGTTAATGCAGACATGAATCCTCGTAAAAAGGTTTCAGTTTTGTTGCCAGAAAAAAATGGGGAAAACCCTATTATTACATGTGCTTTAACGATTTGTCTTCGGTTTTGTTCACGATTTGAATGGTTGAGCCCGGCAGTGTCCTCAAGCGTGTGCTGCATTTTGACCACTATTCATTAACCGACAACTATCGGTCGTCTTGTTGAGGTCACGTGAGGTCGGGTCAGCCTTCTCCATTGGCCGAGGCTGCCAGCTCTTGCCCTGGCAGCAGCATCGCTGATAATGCGCTGTCGGGGTGGGACGATTCACCCTCTCTCTCCCAACAATTTTTAATGAACTCTCAAAATTATCCATCGCAATTCTGTTCTCTCCTTTGACTTTGCAGTGAATATATTTCTCACAGTCACGAACGATCACAGGGATTGTATTGAATTCCCTCCCATTTGCCTCTTTTCCCAAGCTCTTATATCCAAGTGTTATACTCTTCCATGAAACTGAGACTAAACAATTGTTTTATTTTACCAGGTAAGGCCCACGGAGCAATATAGCTCTTTTTCAGACGCTACCTTGCCCACAAATGATAGCTCAACGAAGTGGCCTTTCACGTGGAAATGTATAGCAGCCAAATACTCTAAACGAACGTTGTTTCTAAATGTGGAGGGAAAAACCGGAGGACCCAGTGAAAAATCCACGCGACCACGGGGAGAACATGCAAACTACAAATATACAGCAGCAGGCGTCAGGGTCGGGATTGAACCCACGACCTCCTGTGTACCAGGCGAGGTATTTGATATCTTGCCACCATGATAGTTATTTATTACAACTTTGACAGTGCTGTTTGTTGCTGGCCGCTTGACTTTGGGCCGCTGGTCCCTGTGCTTGGCGATTGTGTAGAAAAGACACATGCCTATCAATGTAATGGATTTATTTACCAGCTATTAGATAAATATATCGGAAGCTCAAAATCTAAATTCATTAATGAATTGATGCATCATTAACTCTTAATGTGCCGTGAACACAGAGGTAGGGGTGTAATTTCCACCATTATCTCATTAAGATTGCCATCGTTGATTTCTTACAAAGTGCTGCTCATTTTTATTGACCCCATGATAGGTGATTAGCTGAATGAACCCTCGACCGGGTGTTTCGAGGTTGCAGGGTTCAGATTGTGAGACGAACACTCTTCCACAGTGCCACCTGGCTGTATTATTAAAGCATTGTCAGTCAGACATGGTCTCTCCATTGCTGCACCAAGGCTCCCCCCACACTGCTGCCATCCATCATGATCCTGCTATGCTACCTCATTCCTCCACGTCTCATCTCTCCATCTCTGGTGGTTATCATCCTCTTGATGCGTTTTTTGCCCGTTGGCTGCCATTTCACCACCAGTCTGATCCACGGTTCATCGACCCTCCTAGCCACAGTGCATGATGGGTCCAGCCAATGCCCACTCCACTTTCTCTGAGTTATACAGAGCGTAAACATATTAAATATGCGGGATAGCGTATTTCATATTTTTTGTTCCAAATTGCTTCTAAATGGTGTAATTTTCGGGCAGCATTTTAAAAATCGTATCCCCTATTATTATTTAACCAAAAACCCCACACAATCCACACTAGACGGCCTCTTTCTCCCGGCTCCACATTGAGCCATTGAGGCGTAGGCTTACAGCGAATAAACCCGAGATCATAATGACCCTTCATTGCCCGTTTAGTGCCATTTCACTCCAGCGCCGCTTCGCTCTCTCTCTCTCTCTCTCCGCGTGGCCCTCGTGCTGTCTTTCCCGTGCCCACAGTAACAGCGGCCCGCACGCTTCACCCTTGCATTCCTGGGGCAGGGCCGAAGGTGTGGGGGAGGGGGGGGGGGTCTCGTCCGTTTTCTTTTTTCAGAATCCATAAAACCCCTACCGCCACCCCCCCCCCCCCCATTCTGTTCTTACCGCACGCCGACCGCTCCCCCCCCCCCCCCCCCGTGTAAAGTCGGTGCGCGAGAGCCGCGGCGACGTAGCCGCGATCGTCACCGCAGACGCGGTTTTTTTTTCCTCTCTCAACGTCGCGTTCGGAACGCCGCGGCGTTGCCGCCACAACC